ATGACGAAGTCAGGTGAAGGTCATGAATATTATATGCAAAAATTGTTACGCTAAGTTAACTAGAAGTTATTGAGGTACGAAACTACACCCATACCGGACACACAGGCGTATTTATCACGATTGCATTATGGTCGCTATTATTGGGCCAGCTCGATTTCGTTATTGTGACATCGCATTGACGTAATTTTTGGATGACGAAGTCAGGTGAGGGTCAGGAATGATATATGCAAAAATTGTTACGCTAAGATAAGTATAAGTTATCGAGGTAAGAAACTACATCCATTGCGCTAAGGCAAATTAATATGTCGGTTTCTGCTTGTCTAAAGCCTTGCATAGAGTGAAAGCGTTCCACGTCCTATTAATAAAATGTGGCCCAATACATGATCAGTCTCTGGATATTAAATAACAAGTCTTTATGTCTGCGGCACGTAACCTCAATCATTGCGTGAATTAAATGTTCTTTCTGTTTGTCTAAAGCCTAGCTCAGAGCGGTATCGTATATCACCCTATTAATAGATCGTAGCACAATACATGAGCTATTGCTGACATAAAATAATAAGTCTTTATGTGTGTGGTACCCAACTTCAACCATGGCGTAAAATAACATGTATTTTCTGCTTGTCTAAAGCCTTGGTTAGAGTTGTATCGTATAACGCTCTATTTTAGATTGTAGCACGATACATGAGCTATTGCTGGACAGAAATTGGTCAGAATGGGATATCGTGAACGTTCCTTGGCGACAATTTAGTCGCTTGTGATTCTTGTTTATTTTGAGCTCTGTACAACGACCCCGATAAGAGAGAGGTCGCTGACGTATTGAGTTTGTTGACATACTCGTAGGCGCCATTACGGGTGACCGTCGCTATACTTTGGCAAGCTGTATTTCGTTATTGTGACGTCGCAGTGACGTAATTTTTGGATGACGTCATCAGGTAGGGGTCAGGAATCATATATCCAAAAATTTTTACGCCACGCCCACTAGAAGTTATTCAGGTAAGAAAGTACATGAGACCCGCCTATGTTTGCACGGCATTTGTTTGTTCCTGTAGCTTAATAGTACAAGGCTTTATGATAATATGTTACGATGAGACAGGGTGTTAGAACTGCAGTATTTTTGGTTTGCCTGGTTCTGTAACAGTTTTTTGCCTGTCATTTCCAGATTTTTAACAGCATATGGTACTGTACGTAACGCGTATATAGACTATAAATAATCTCCTTTTTATTGTTGTGCATTAATCCATATAATGGCGTCGTCAGCTTCTGTATATAGCATTCACCACCCGGATTTCAATACAAAAAAAACGCTAGCCTACTTTGAGAAAAATTTAAGATGTCTTACTTGGAAGAATGAACCTAGGCTATATGTCACCACAGGATGCATGAGTGGATGAAACATCTCTATGGCCAAAGGTTGAATAACCTGACGTATATTAATATCTCATCAATACACCTGGAATATACACAAAAGATGCCATGAAAAACAGGAAGAGTTTGGAAGCATACAAAATTAAACCGTTCCAGCGTTCGGTGTACAAGCTATTGAAATTTGACAGTGGAATGTTTTTTGTAACTAGAGTATACTTGGGCTCGGGCAAGTAATCGTTTCGGTCTATTGATAAATACTTCACAGCAGTCTATGATGCCAATCTTGGGAAGTATTGTCGAAAAAGTGGTGGTAGTGTTTTAATATTTGCTTCACAGTCCAACAAATTAGAAACGACATTTTGTTTTTGGTTAAATCAATCCAGCGCCAGAATGCGCTGTCAAGATTTGATTTGGACAAATCGAATATGTCTGCTAACGTATCAAAATGTTCGTTTAAGCTTAGTTTCATGAGGGTCATGAGCATTTTACAATGGCACGAATCTGGCAAACAGGGGCAGAGGAAATTGAACATAACATCAAATGTTTCTACTGGTAAACCAGTATAGTAAATGAATTTTTTTGGCTATTTGCTCAAGTTCTTGTAACTGAAAATGTTAAAATTTTCTAGTTTTTCCACTGCCTCATTTCTCTCCATTCTAAGCTGCAAAAGTTCTGCCACAAAGTTTTCTAAATTGACTAATTTGTCTAAAGCTTCATCTTTCTCTTTTCTGATTCGTAAATTTTACTCCTCGAGTAAGTCCAATTGATTTTCTTTGGCGGTTGCATTCACTATGAGATGAAGCTGCAGTATCGACTGCTTTTGGATTTCTATTTTATGACTTTTTGCTTTTTTATGCGAACTGTACTGTATATTTATTCATTGTATCCGTTTTTATTTCAACTTGTTTTTGTGAAAACAAATAAACGATTGATTGATATGCACACTTCTATCTTTTGCACTGCTGTATCTGGAAAGTCTTTTCAAATCGGATTTACTTGAGGCGGCCGAATATACAAAAATTGATAGAATATAGTCTGGATGGCAGGGATCTCTAACTGGTTTGCCTAAAAAATAAATTTCTTGCAATTTTTTTGACATGACAGCACGTCGGATACTTTCAGAAATTAAATATTTCAGTTTATTTCACCAATGAAGAAGTGCAGTGGTACAGTGCATAAGTGTAAGTCAGGAAAAAAACACAATAAAGAGCATTACAAGAGTTAAATTACATATCAAAAATAGAGCAATTCCACAAATAAAAAAACTATTGGCAAACATATGGATACTTACCACTGATAAAATGTAGTCATTTGGGCCCGTTGGATTTCACGCCTTAGATAGATAGTTTATTTTGAAAACTCCATAACAGACATAAATTAAAGATGGAGAATTCTGGAGAGCAAGCAAAACCAATATATTCTCATGCAAAGATATTGTGGGGAGTGGAATGTAATAAATTGGCAAAGATAGTCATACTCATGAGTCATGAAGCCATGAAAGCTTCAAGAAGAACCAAGCCATGAAAAACTACACTGATTGCTAGATGGGGCATTGCGGAAAAGGTGATAAGTGAGTTTAATATACAAACAAACGCAAAATCATGACGGCAAATTCGATGTGCGGACACTCATAAAAACAATTATCAAGAAAAACACTAATCACATGTGAACAGGTCTGTATCCTAATCGATATATTGACGTAGCCAGCATTGTTAAAACAGTATACACACAGAGAGAACAAAACAAAAATATGCCAATAAATGAATGTTTAAATACGTTGAACATTGATATGATCATAGTAAGTTACCCTGCAAACTATTGACACATGTTATATAGTTAAATACTCATTTAGTATTCGTTCCATCGCTGTTATTTCTGCGACACGCTGCACACCTTTGTCGCCGTTCACTTCCTATTCGGGAACCTGAAGTATCCTTATTGATATTCGCTTTGTTCCTGCATCCAAAAGCGATACAATATATAGTTATCTTGCACCGTTACGTCAAGCAGTAGACAAAAATAATGTAACAAACCTGTAGTCCCGGTTAGCGCGTATACCTGCAGTTTTCGTCGCCTGGTAACCGTTGGTCACGCATGAATGCGTCAGAATTACATAGGTAAATTCCGATAGGTTTATGTAGATATTCCACCCGTCAGAGGAACCGTTAATTTTCTCATTTGAGTGCAATAACATACGGACCTGGATACCGGTACTTACCATTATTTGTGTCAATTGTCAATCGTTCACCCAAACAGGAAACTGGAAAAAGCCAGTTTGTCAGAAGTCGAGGAAGTGTAATACCGGTACGGTACGGTACTGGTACCGTACTTCAGTACCGTACTGACTGTAATAGCTAGTTTCAGAGTTTAGATAATATCAAAAGATTGCATTCAGTGCAGTTTAGTTTTTTTTAGCAGTTAGCCTACGGTATTACAGTAGCTAGTAGGCCTAGCCTAGGCATGCAAACTGAAAAAAGTTTGACAACCACTGCCCAAGACTGCAAGACAAAATCATGTCACGACAAAAGCATGTTCAGTTTCAGAAGCTATTTTGTTATGAATACAGAAATAGAAAAATTCAAAAATGCTAGTCTAGGGTGGTCTGGTGGTGTAGCCAGTCTGAGGACGATTTCATTCAAACCGCTATAAAACAAAAAACAATATTTCTAACCCATTAATTAGGTATGTTACAAAAAAATTAAAGTTCATCCGATTTAAATAAAAACTGCACCAGTGGATAGATCTAAGTGAAAATAAGAAAACAATACCAAGTTTGCAAAAAATGGTCAAGAATTAACGGAGATATCTGCATTTAAGTACCGTACCGCCCGATAGGCCAATTTTTTCCATAAGGATTGTATTGCGCCGACTCAAAAACTGTGACCGCGAGAATGTCAGACCGATAAACAACAGAATGTATCTCGGCTATTTTTGGAGGTAATCGAAAAAAATTTTGAACGAAAAGTTATTGCAGTATTGTGAATAGAAGAACGTAATGCAAAAAAGTTTACAAATTCTTTTTAACGATATTAGCTGCTTTTCAATTAATTATGTACGAGAAAGTTTCTGAACTTTACATAACCTCTGGTCGGCAACGACTTTCCCAATACGCAAGTCCCCGCATACGCGGCAATTAACTGATTTAGCGTTTTTCATATCCGACCTTAATGAACGATTAATTATCATTTAATATTCCTTAACTCGTAGGAGATTTACCGCGCTTAGTGAAACGCAAAACGAGAGAAATCGCTGCGAGGGAAAATGTCGGCATTCAGTCGATAACTGATGCGCGTTGACAGACGCGTGCTAAGATCATACTTCTCATGCCTTGAATTAATTTGTACCGTTTCGTAAACGTATGCGAATTGACTTTTTTCAATAAGAACTTTAATAAATATGAAAAAAAAAACACATATCAATCTTTAATTTTTCGATGCGCGTCACATCTAAGAAAATTCAGATTACTTTAGGATTTTATTCTGGCAACGATCATTGAGGCCGTCGGAAGATCGTCGCAAATCAACCCTGGAGTTGAGCATATTAGTTTGACAGTGCCTTGTTGCGGGTAATAATTAACGATGTTCTGATTGAACAAACTTCATAAAAATTGGTAAGTATCAAGTTAGGACTGACATACATGCGTCCATATATATTTTATTGGTGTCCATAGACAATATCATTAATTTGCAGTACGTATAACTTTAGCGTAATTTTTAAAAGCCCCGAATGTTGGGAAATTTATGCGCTAATGAAAAAATTCGAATACCAAATCATAGTTGCGCATTTTATCTAAGTTATGTCCAAATTTCATGAAATTCCAAACAACAGCAAGCAGTCCGTAGTCGTTTTTATGAGCGGTATTCTGACACGGCGTTACGGTACTTAGCAGATGTGGTGCGTACATTTTTTGGCGCGAAAAAGCGCGTTTTGTAACATTCCTACATTAATTTTCTCACCGTAGGTGCATAGGCATTTATTCTACACGCTAAACCTCGAATTAACTTTCTACGACCAGGCTGCCAGGGGTTAAAGCTATACAAACCACCAAAGTACGACACTCGGAAGACATATTTGCGACCGACCGACCTGTGTACGACCACATATTTCAAGCCTTGAACATCGTTTCTGCTGCGTCGAGACTAGAGCATACGGTACGCAGCCATGCGTGAAAAAATTGGGCTTCTAATTGTATTTCTAACTGTCATATATTTCAAGAACACGGTCATTTGGAACAAAACTCGTCAAATTATATACAACTGTACAAAGCACCGCATCACAGCAATCGACAAAATATTATTGACGTAAGATGGGTATAAGAAACACAACTCTACCCCCTTGCCAAGTTTCATCTTTATATCTCTTATATTTGTATGGATTTTCAAGTTTTTTTAAACGGACAATGGGTAGTTGGCGACATGAAAAAATGGTACGTTTTTTTTTCTTCGGTCAGGTTTTCGGTCAGATGTTTGTGGCCGCATTTTAGTGTAATTTCGCAGCGCTATTAGGGACAAGTGGACGATAACACACGGGAAATATCGTCACGGTTCGTTAATTTTTCAGCATTAATTAGATCGATGAAGTTGATGGCCGCAAATAGATCGTGGCCGCAAAGTGGGTAAGCCACCCTACTGTTCACTACACATCCTGACATCTCATGTTTACTATTATCGAACTTTTTAGATTCCAGGATTTTCTGAAATATCGCATAAAGTAGATATGCTCCTTTCAATGAGGTCTGGATTGCTTCAGTACAGTAGAAGTGCAAAATTCAAACCGTTTTTCAATAATCGAGATCAAGTTTCTACACTAAAATATAGGAAAACGAATTCTGCACTATCCAAATGCAAAAGGCTATTTCACACAACTAATCGCCAGGGAATCAATCCTATCTTTGCTTTGATTTTCAAAGCGCATGGAGTGAAAGTTCTCAAAGGTGCAAGCATTATCTTTGGACGAACATTTAGAAAAGTTTATGATAAGCTTCCTGAACATATTCGAGTACAGATGCAAAAACATAAGATTATATTCACTTCAATGGCTGTACTGACTCCTGCTGTTGGATATTATTCCTATGTTCACTATGACACTTGTCCGATTACCGGTAGGAAAAGATGGATCACTTTTACTCGTGATCAAGTGATTGCCTTATCCGAACTTGATTATGAACAATTGATGGTTAATTTCAAAGGCAAGTTTGTTGAAGAATCTCATCCTATCTTTCAAAAAAATCAAATTTTGGTAAAACAACTTATCGAAGGAAACACTGATATTGAAACAGTCAAGAATACAACATGGACCCTGCATGTGATAGATGATCCTGAAGTAACCAATGCTTTTGTGCTCCCGAACGGTCACATTTTTGTTTTCACAGGTTGGTCAAGAATTCACTCTTTGAGGACTTGAAATGTTTACACAGGTGTTAGGTTAGGTTGGTCTACTAAACACAATCCTGTGTCTCCATATAAAATTGTGACGTTAAATATTATCAAATAAACAGATATAGTTGTCGCATGAGTTTGAAAATGTATTAAATTGAACATGAACAACATGATGTTTCATATGACTTTGTGAAATTAATATTCATTTGAAATTTTGGAATAACTCACAACTGATACACTGAATTTATTCTGGGCATTAGTGACTTTATGGCTCTATAAATGATATTAATAAATTCTTCATCAGGAATGTTAAAAATGCTCAATACATGGGAGGAGATGGCTGTCATACTTGGACATGAAATGTCACATGCAATTCTTGGGCATTCTCAGGTATGTTTTACAGAAATCTAATTCTAGAGAGAAGAAACCTCACATGCTCGAAAAAATTCAATGTTTTATTTAATTAAGGTTCTTTTTTGTTTGCGAGTAAATTTCAATTTGTTTTATGTATCAATTCCGTTCATCCAATTTTATTATGATTTATAATGATCACATTTTGCAAATATTGTAACAACTATTTTGTGTGACTGTTAATTAATTAACTTTTGTTTCTAAAGGAACAACAAAGCTATCTTGCATTCGGAGAGTTACTGATGGTTCCACTGCTGGCTTTTATTTGGTTCTATTTTGAGGATTTTTTAGCATTTCTGGTGTATTCAATTCAACAATATGTTTACCCATTGTTATTCGAATATGGATTCAACCTTCCCTACGGAAGAAAATTGGAGGTGGAAGCTGATGAAGTTGGACTACTTTTAGCAGCGAAAGCATGTTTTGATCCCAGGTTATTTCTTTTTTGTTGCTTATTTTTTCAAATTTGGGTCTCAACAACACTGGCAATTCTAGTTTGTGTTAGTTCTATCTATCACTGAGATACAATATGACTGATATTATGGTATTTATTTAGATGGAGTGTTTTGTTATGGGAGAAGATGGCAATGAAGGAGGCTTTGGAAGGAAATGGTGATGCTGATGATTTCGATTTTTTATCAACACATCCCAGCAATCAGAAGAGATCTGCAATTTTGGAAGAAAAATTGCCAGAGGTGAGAAATTAAATCTTGTTTTTAATATGAAAAGGGGTTTTGGTAGTTTATTAATGGCTAAACAGTGGATGTGTACCAAACTTTAAATTTCGTTTCAAGTGTTGCATTTTTCACTATGTTATTATTATTTACATAAACTTATTTTTTGCACAGGTTTTGGAGATAAGAAGAAAATGTAATTGCCCACCCCTCCCTACTAATGTCAATCCTGAAGCGGTCGCCCATCAAATGCGAAGATGTGTTGAAAATATAAAAGAACGAACTGTTCTCATGGAGGAATTGAATCGAGCAACTTCAATTTTGGATCAAGAAAACTTTATCAGAGCTAACAAATTAGATTCTGCAGAAATCAAAGAACTTGAAAAGCTGAAAAGAGACTCTGAAAAAATCAGAAACAAATTACAAAAATTAGAAGATGAATACAATAATCTCACAAATGCGACTCAATGTTCAACAAATGAGCAAGATCAAAAGGAGGAAAAGCATCCAGGGGTACTTGCAAACATTTGGTACAACCTTATAGGCTCAATATATACGACTGGCAAATTAACTGATACACTTTTCGAAAAAGAAAATCTCAAACTTTCTACTGTTAACATTAATAAGTCAGCATTGAAAACAACATGTACCACATCAAATGGTAGTCTCTTGGATAATGATAAATCGAAATAATCTAGAAAAATCTTTTTTACAAATGTGAATATGGATCAACATATTCTTATTCCTGGTTGTTGAAGAAGGTTCAATAGCCATTGCTATTTATAACTGCATGTGTTAGGTGTTACAATGTACTATGATCGAATTGTATCACTTTATATATATGTTTGTCATGCCTTATTTTGTTAATAGATAAAATTGTTAGGTAATAGTCTATATATGCAAGAACATGATGATTGAATGTTTACTTTTTATTTCTTTGAAAGTTCAGTGATTTTCTTCCGCTATATTTTCTAATTTATTTTTTGTAGCTGTGAAAGGATGATTTTGATTATTTTTTCAACAAAAAATTTTCGAGGCACTGTATTGTAATTGCAATCATCATATAGTAAATAGATAACTAATTTAACGACAATATGTCAATCTTAATATGTATATAGAAGAGGTATATAAGAGGTATATTGGTCAGAATAGTTTTTATGCACAGCTTTCATTTTATGTTTTTTTCATTGTTGCTCAGTTTGTAAGAACTATCACTTATTAAGCTTCGTTAATCTGGCCACCCATGAAAACTCATGAGAAAGCAGATGAGCCAAAAAGATTCCCTACAGAATTTTTATACAGTAAGTGGATGTCATCTCATTTTTGGTATTGATCGGGACAGAGACTATCTTATAGACCTCTGTGTTATAAATTATTTTATCAAAATCAGTATGTGATGTGATTTTGATAAATGACTTGTTATTTTGTGCCAATGTCCATCTTGAGAATTTGCATTATTTTAGTTCCAAATTCCAATATGACCAATTCTTTAATAATTGAATATATTTTTTTTTGTAGAATTGTTTAATAAAAAATTTATATTACTTATTAGTTTGATAGACCATGTCCCGCTTTCAGCGACATCTGCGTCAGCAGGCGGGTGCTTCTAAAGAAAACGGTTCTCATGAATCTCTGTCAAAAAGTTTGTTTCCACAAGCTAGGAAAACAGGACAATTAAATCTATCAAACAGGGAATATAAGGAAGTCCCAAGTGAAGTTTGGCGCCTGAATTCTCCTCCAATTGAGGGTGATGCTGATTTCGGTTCCTCAAGCACAGAAAGGTGGTGGGATCAGGTTCCATTAACCAAATTGATTCTTGCCTCTAATGCTTTGATCTCTCTCTCCGAAAAAATCTCTGTTTTCCCAGCTCTTGTTGTTTTGGATTTGCATGATAACAAATTAAGTCAACTGCCAAGTGTGATTGGTTCATTAGAAGTGTTAGAGAAACTCGATGTTAGTCATAATGAATTGGAAAGTTTGCCGTCTGAGCTTTCTATGTTGGAACGACTGAGTACTTTTTTGTTGCATCACAATCAAATTTCTCATTTGCCTGATGACATTGGACAGCTGTCATATCTTCGAGTATTGAATGCGTCACATAATAAACTACAAGCCATCCCCAGAAATCTGGCATCTATGACTGATATACAAAAATTAAATTTTTCAAATAATCAGTTAGAAAGTTTACCAGAAGAGATTTGCCAACTCTCACACTTGTCATATTTAGACTTGAATTATAACAATCTCAGCTACCTTCCACAAAACTGGAGAAAGATGAATTCATTGAAAGAATTATATTTGAGAAATAATTCACTGACTTCTTTGCCTTTGCTGAGTAACTGCTCCAGTCTTAAAGAGTTGTATTGTGCAAGCAATAATATGAAGCATTTGGAAGTCAACAAATTGCCAGAGTCTTTGGTTATTGTAGAATTGCGTGATAATAAGATAAGCAAAATAGAAGAAGATATTGTTGCGTTGAAGGACTTACAACGTCTCGACTTGGCTAACAATGATGTTTCCACTCTGCCTCCTAGGATGGGGCTGATGGAACATATCACTGCATTGAATGTTGATGGTAATCCAATGAGAGGTTTGCGACGTGATATAATTAATCGAGGAACATTAGCAATTATTCAGTATCTTCGAACACGTATTGTAGACAAGGATGCTAATGCTGACAGTGAAAATGGCTCGGCACCGCAGTCATCTTTACCAGTGTCATCTGCTATGGCCGAACGTTCTAAGCTACACACACTCACTTCCACCAAGTCATTGGATATCAGTAATAAAGTCTGGTCCGAGAAGCTACTTGATGGCTCTGAAGAAATCCCCTTGGAAGTCATAAATATGTCAAAAATGGGATTGTCTCAATTTCCATCTCAGATCTGTCAATTCAAAAGTTCTTTGAAATCCCTAAATATTAGTCTAAACAAAATATCAGTGTTTGGTTCAGAAATTGGCGACTTTGTTTCTCTAACACACTTGAACCTCGGCACTAATTTGCTGACAGATTTACCCGTGGAAATGACAAAGTTAAAAAGTTTAATTGAGCTGAATATAATGCAAAATCGTTTCAGCTTGTTGCCAGAATCTGTTTACTCCATGGAATCACTCGAACATCTTCTCGCTGGTGGAAACAAGATTGAAAAGATAAACATGGAAGGGTTGAAAAAGCTTACTAAGCTGTCAACTCTCGCGCTGCAGAATAATAGCATTGCACAAGTTCCACCAGAACTAGGACTTATGTCAAGTCTACGTAATCTTCAGCTGGAAGGAAATGTATTTCGAATTCCTAGGCATACCATTTTGCAACAAGGAACTCAAGCAGTTTTGGATTATTTAAAAGGGAGGGTTCCAACCAATTAAAACCATCCTATTTCTAATATTAAAAGCTTAGTTTAGTGCAGCAGAAGAAAACAGCTTTAATTTGAATTATCACTTCTATTCAATCAATGGTGTATACCAGGGTAGTTCAAGATTGTCGGCTCCGCGGGCCACAAAATTATTTTTGCATTGTTCGCAGGCCACAATAAAGCCGAGAATAGGTAAACAGTGCAATACAAAACAAACACTTTTATTGTGCAAACACATAGTTATCAGGCATAGCCATTCTAGGCTAATAGAAGCCGCATTCGATTTTTAGTTTTCTCTGATGCCTATATTGTTAGCATATATTTCGACAAAAAAGTTAGAAAACCAGATAACAATTTAGACTGACAAGCACACTATTTAACTTCGCTAGTTGCCTCAGCTAGCCATAACACTATTTAATTCAGTGACATCAGTGACGACAAAATGTCAAAAGATTTTTCTGAATAATTATGACTAAACCACACAAAATGCGATTTTTTGATTACTCTCCGAATGTGACGCGGGCCACAGATAATGAAGCGGCGGGCCACATGTGGACCGCGGGCCTGGGTTTGGACCACCCTGGGGTATACCTTTGATTCCGTCACTTTAAATCATCTGTTAAATATTGGACCTTGAAGTTCATTAACTTGTTTCTGGGCTTCAAAATTACGATTTAAGGTTGAATCAAGGGTATTAGGCTCAGGATTTAACTTGGTAGTGCATCAAAGTACAGCAGCTGCTGATTCAACATTTTTGCTCAAGTGTCTTATCCTAAAATGCTTCGGGATTGATAAATACACAATCTTGATTCAATGCTTGAAAAAATATCTTGATTCCAAATGCTTGCTTGGTTGCCAAACTGGAACTGTATTCTTACGGTGGTTTTCTGCCTATTTAAAATTTTAACAATTGTGCAACTCATCTAGATAATTAGACATAAGAAAGCATATTCATTATTCCTATTACCAAAGCTTTGTTGAAGACTATGTATTTTTCAAGAATAATCATATTTTCTGATCATTCTTTTATTTTAAATAACTGAGATTATATCAGTGTGCCTTGTTCAATATACCATTTTTTCAATAATTAATTCTATACAATTTGCTTCAGCTTGTTAATTAAATCTCATGTTAGAGAACAATCATTTCAATTATACAAATTATTTCATTTTATAGTGCATGTATCAACTGCAAAATAGACATTCATTATTATAATAGTATGATAATTTCATGATCAAAAGTCACTGCAAATTTCACTTCGTCAACAAAATGGCTAGAACACCTAAAGTGAGTAGTACAATATAATGCTTTTGAGTGAATGCTAAGTGAGTGTATAACCTTATTCTGACTAAAGGTTTGAGTAAACTGTCCAACTCTAGGCCCTGCATTTTATTATATGTTAACTGCTCACATTGTTGCAGAGAACTACGTGTTGGCATGTATTATATCAAAAATTCAGTTGCACTGGAATAATGGGAAAGTTTTAAACATAGGCAGTGCAGTACACATCATTAGTACAGTACAAGTACAGATTTCTTTTTATCTTTGATCTAACAAATAAAAAATGAGTAGTATAGTTACCTTGCTTACTATATTTGTTAAACTCTTTTTTTTTCTGTCAGGATGCAATTGTGCTATGTCTCGATGTTGGACCAGGGATGACACAAGCTCCTCCAGGTTCAGATACACCATTAGAATCATCTATCAAAATCATTTCTATGATGTTGCAAAGAAAAGTAGGACAATGTTTTTATGCAGGCACCCTGTATTACAACATCATTATCTCTTTGTCTGATTAGCAATTTTGAATGCCAATTTTACCAATCATGCATTTATAGTGGAAAATTCATATTCATCTCACCATTGCTGATTTTTAGAAGAATAGAGTTTTTATAATTATAAATAAAACTTTTAGTACTTATGTTTAATTATTTTTGTATTGTGTCAGTAATTTGTAATATATAGCCAAGGTTAAAAATGTCTGATTGCATTATGAGAGTGTTTCAAATTTGGCGCTAATGTTGCATTTTATGATGTTAACTTAGAATGCTACTTCAAACAATTTTTCATCATTATTATTCCAATATATAATATGATATTCGGTAAGTTATAGATCATGGAACAAAGAAAACATAACATTGCACAATTTTATTTTTTCCAAGATATTTTCCGAGTCTAAAGATGAAGTTGCTCTGGTCTTATTTGGGACAGAAGACACACTAAACAATTTAGCTGATGATGATGGAGGTTATCAAAATATAACTGTTTCTCGTCCACTAGGTATTTCTGGATTTGATTTGCTTGAAGACATCTCTAAAATCCATCCTGGTCCTAAAGAAACTGACTGTATCCTTTTCTAAAAAATTGCAAAAGATTGCTGAATTTCACTAACATTATACAATTCAGTCATGTTGCCATTTAGTGATGTCAATGCTTGTATAGTTAATAAATTAGAGTTGGTACAGTATAATAAATGACAGTGTTATAGTGATATGTACTCTTTCTATGCTGGACAAGAGGCCGTGATTTGCCATATAATTAGGCCGTCTTATCAACTTTCCTCTCCCTTGGGATAAATATGAAAATCCTATCTATCTTCCTTAGTGAATTTTTATGGCAGTTCTGGATGCTCTTACAGTCGGTCTTGACATATTACACGAACAAACCAAGTAAGTATTTGTACTTGAAACTCATTTTAAATTGTCATTAAATCATTGTTGCAATTTGCGTGGATTTTATTATCTGTTAAAGTTGGTATCTGACTCAATATACCATCGCGTTAAAGGGCTTTTCAAAACTTATATCCTCATAAAAGTTTGTTTTGCTTACATTCTCACAAAGCAAAGCCTGGTTTTTCCAGTGCTTTAGTGGGTGATTACATTTGCACAAATATCAAACGAATTTGAGGATGTATAGCCATAAGTTTCTGTCTCTAAAACTATAATACAGTGTATGTTTATATTTGATAGTTTGATATATGTCTTTTCTTTCACCACAATATTTTAGAGGCAAGAACATTGAATATCGTCGACTAATTCTTTTCACAAACTTCGATCATCAGTTCAGTGATGATAACTTAGAAGGAATTATTGGAGGATTTTGCTGTGAAAATGAAGAAGTTCAGTTGAATATAATGTAAGTTATATTTTCTTTTATAGTAATTATTTTCTCTAAAAATGAGCTAATAATAAGGTAATACCTGCTAGTGCACATGGACTGATTGGCAGACACCCAGTCATCGCATGATATTAATATAGCTACTGATAAAAGCATCCAATGTCTGTGCATCTTAAAGTTTACTGGTGTATTGGACCAAATTTAGTGAAAGATAAGGTTTCTTCAAGGTACCAGAATACTTTTCAATAGAGTAATGTTTTTGTAACTATAACAGTCTATCCTTTGGTCTCACGCATGAGGCAAAGACTAGCCATTGTGATAGCATATTCTATTCATGCTTTGTTGTAAATTTATAAACAATATTTTTCAGTGCTCCTCAGTTTGAGGAATCAGTTTCATCAGATGGTGAGGAACATGACAGTGGTTCAGATGGGGAGGGACCAAGTGTTAAAAAACCCAAATTAGAGAAATTATCTGAAAAACCAAAAACTCCTCAACAAAGAGCAGGAGAAAGATTGATTAATAGTATGCTTGAGCAAGGAGTTGATGGATGTGCTTATTCATATGAGTGAGTATTTTTTATCTTATAAGATAGTAGGACAACAGTAAAGAAAATGGGCAACATAATAAAACATTCCTTTCTTACTCGTTTCAATTCATGTTATAATTAATCTATTTGGTTCACACCAGAAATAGATTTTAAAAAATTTCATCGCTATTGGAATTAAAACTGAAAAATTGATTTTGAAATTAAATGTAACACATTTTCAATTGTTTTTTCCTCTAGTCAAGCTGTTTTAGCTCTCACAGGATTTGAAAAGAAGTCAGTTCGATCTGTAGCTTGGAAATGTCATCTGACGCTCGGGAATGACTTGACCATACCATGTGCTGCTCACGTCAAAACAAAAGCAGCCACATTGAAAAAATCATGGATCAAGTAAATATCATATTTAATTGTAATCTGTGCATTTTGTGAGAAATATCGATTATGTGAGGACTACGTAACTATTATTTTTAAGTTTGCTTAAAAATAAAAACTAGTTTTTCAGCTTTTATATTCTGAAAAGTTGGACTGAACACTGAACAGAAATGTAATGAATGATTAAGCAGTTGCATTCTATGCGTTTTAAAAAAAAAAAAATTTTATTGCCTCCAAAAATCTATACTGAGAATAGCAGGGGGTAGAATTAGGAGGGGCACTTGGAGGAGTATGGGTGGCACTTGAGTTTGATCTTTTTGTCGTAGTAAAATTGTGTACAATCTTCCCATAATGAAGGAAAATAAAACCAGGTGTTTGACAGTGGGGTTGTAAAGTTCAGTCTTTCTCTTTTTCAAGCTATTGCTAGAACTAAACGTTACAAAACCTGTAAATTTTGGACAAGTTTGTACTCTGTTAACCTGTACTAAGTATCTTGTTAACAAATTATTTAGATGTTATGCAAAAACTCAAAAATCTGATGATATTATGAAGCAAAGATATTTTGTATTGAGAAGTGATGGTCAAACAGAAGTAGATGAGGAAAATATAAGCAAAGGTTTGAAAAATGTTGTTATCTTTTCAGTCATGTTATAAATGGGATATTTATTTTGTATTCTGCTATGAAGCAAAAAAAAACAATGCACAATGCAGGCCTGAAATTAGAGGAGGTTGCCGAAATTCTAAAAGGATTTACAACATGACACATCATAAAGTATTATATAGGCAGTTCAACCTTGTTAGTTGTTACATTAAAATTGTTAAAACAATGATATCTACAGGTTACAAGTATGGCAAGGATATAATTCCATTCAGTAAAGTTGATGAAGAGCAAATGAAATATAAAACGGAAGGAAAATGTTTGTCTATCCTGGGCTTCACAGATTCATCAAACATTCGTGTACAAGATTTGATGGATGACCAATCTCATCATATTGTTTCAGAAAAAGATGATAATGTATGTATTCTGTGAACTAGTGTTCAAAAATCAAACATAATGAATAAGGAATGTATCTATTAAGGAATTTCAATATCAATAAAATAATGTTATGAAAAACAATGTTTGGGTGACTAGAAATTGCAATATTTGCTGAAATTTACAGAATCTTGTAATATAAGATTTGTCATTTTTGATTCTATCAAATTATACCCATTGTTATATATTTTTGCCTTCAATATATTCTTCACAACCTAATAGGCTGCTGAAACTGCGTTATCCGCACTTGTGACTGCAATGCAGAATCAGAATGTTTGTGCCGTCGCACGATATGTTTATCGCAAAGGCACGAATCCCAAACTCATGGCACTTATGCCAAGAATAAAAGAAGAATATCGTTATCTTGTGATGATAGCTCTTCCATATGCTGAAGATTTAAGGTACTAGCCAATTAATTAGTTATCCAATAACATGATTCCATGAATATTTTCTGCCATTATTACGATTCTTGATTGGCAATAATAATAACTCATTTTAGTGAGAATGTAATTTTTATTCATATAAAAAAATAATGCCTTTTCATTTGTACATCTGCATTGTGTAGGAAAGATTGGATCTCCTATTTATGTGCAATTGACTGTAGTTTGACAGTATAATTCGCTGTTGAATATCGTTTGCCTGATAGATATACCGTATTTTCCCGCATATAATACACACTTTTATGGTCAAACTTAGTCTAACAAATATGGGGGTGCGTATTATATACATTGGTCTAGAAAATATAAAAAAATATTAATTCTCATTTTATGCTTCAACTGATCAAAAAATTGTCACATTTATTAATCTTAAGTTCTTGATTTCATGTGGCAAAGTCTGTCAGAATCAGATCATGCTTGATTCGATAGAAGCATACCCAGTTCAATAACAATTCAGTGTTGATGAAGGCGCAGAAAAAATGGTGAAATAAAAGTGATAAAAACACGCTGTACATCTGTTAACTGCTGTCATGCCTGGTCTGAAAACACGTTCTGATATCGGGCCTTGTCAGCTTATAAAGGGGAGGCACAAATAACTTTACAAGATACTTCAATGTCAAATAACTTCACATCATGATTGGCAGATGTTTCTCAGGCAAATACGTAAAACATATTACCAGATATATATAGTTAACAAAAGGCAAGCAGACAGAATGCCTGAAACATTCGGAAAAAACACCTACAAGGCAAGAGAGAACGGAATTTTGATATGTGTATTATGCATGGAGTTTGAAAAATTCTCGTTAAAAATGTACTAAAACCTGGGTGCGTATTATACACTGATAAATACGGTATTTAGTAGTAAGTTACGGTGTGACCAAATTTCTTTTGCATTCTCTAATAATACATTTTAATTTTAGGACTTTAGATTTCCCAAGTCTTGAATCAAAAAAGAATGTGGCTCCAAGTCAAAATCAACTTTCTGCCATTGATAGTTTGATAGATACTATGGATTTGTGCAAAGGGTGAGATTTCTATTGAAAGGAGTACAAATTAAGATTAGCACTGAATTATTCCGTTTTAATTGTTAATCTTGGAATAATCTCATAAGAAAAACCATATACTTGCTTAATTTTAACAGAGAAAAAGAGTTGTATCGCCCCCGAGAGATGTTGAACCCGTATTTTCAGAGAGTGTATCAAAGTTTGAACCACAGAGCAGTCAATCCAAAGAGTTCACTGCCTCCTACAGATGATAGAATCAAAAGTATACTGGATCCAGATCAACAAATATTGGAAAGAAGTAGACTTTCTACAGCTGAAGTTAAGAAATATTTTGAGCTTGTGAAAGAAGAAGTCAAACCAAAAAAGAAATCAGGAGCAGAAACATGGGCTGCTGTGTACGTTGCTATTTATTTGTGTATTTGGAAACTAACTAACATTTTTACAATGGATATGTATATTTTGATTCATAACTAAATTACAATAAATTTACTCAATTAGCATAATATTTTTATATTTATCACAGGTAAATGATAAGACAGTTTAAAAGTGTTAGCCATTTATTTGTACCAGATGCTGGACTTGATGGTTAATTCCGACCAGCGGTTAGGAGTCCAGCAATCCATTCCATAATTATCCAACACAGAATTCGAACCTGCAAATTCACACAGGGTGTGGTGCAATTGCAAGCGTAATCACCATTCTTAGCATGCTGCACCAACTGCCGAACTATAGTACAAATGCATGTTCAGTCACCTTATGATTAGCTACCGAAATTACCCTTTAACATCTGGTAGAACTCAAATTTTTTTCAATGCTCAATACAGGTCTTTGGACGATGAGGAAACCGCATCCCATCAACTGGCAAGTGGTGATGCATCTAGTTCTGGAATTACATCAATTGCACAAATAACAAGCACAGCCACTGTCTCTTCAGTTGGATCTATATCTCCAGATCAAGATTTTATCACACTGTTGAAAAATGCCGAGAATGATGCAGATATTCAGCAAAGTACGTAGTCTTGGTAGAATTTTCCATCAACTATATATATGCACCTGGCTTCTCATTGTTTCAAAATTTTTCATTGCATGTATGCCTTACAATGTCAATTAGTTAGGTTGGATAGGACTGTTCAATATCTGACGAGCCACTGCCCATTGTCTGGCTACCAGTCTATGTCGTGTATGGGAACTAGTTAACCAGGTATCAGAGGTGCAATGTTCAAGAATGTTCCTGCTGCTTAACATGGTTCACCAACGTTCTATACCTAAATCGTCGTATCACTCGTATATATCAACTGCTTTACTTAAAGTTTTAGAGCATGCATTTGAAATACATCAGTTATAGTTACGGTAAAATTCAAAATATTTTTCACATGCAGTATTTGAACAACTTCAACAGCGTGTTATGGAATTTATACTTGATACCTTCACTGCTGGCTGCAACAGAAAAGTATTTACTTGTCTAACTGCAATGAAAGAACAAGCAATATCTGTGAGTTTTTTTCTCAACTGTTTTGAATGCTTCCTTTGCGGAGTAGACTAGTCACTAAATCAGAATTTGTTGATCTTTGTCACAAATAACATTCGTCTTTTCTTTTAGAAAAATGTCGCTCATCTGTACAATACATTCTTGAAACGTCTAAAACCTATGTTGATTGCTGATAAAATTAAAATGCAATATTGGAAAGAAATGACAGAATTACAGTTGACACTAATTGGTGAGTATAATCCAGGCCTGTACAACTCAAATGAACGAAAGGGCAGCAACTTAAACGCAAGTTATCATTATTACTATTCAACTTATATCATGTCATATTTTCGTAATATAGCATATGAACGATGTAACACAAGATAATTTGACACAACCAGCCTTTAATGAGATTATTGCATCTTTTCCCTTTTGTTTGTTTTATTTATTCATCTGCTTTCAATCATTTCCTTCCTCATTGCGGTTTTGTTGAGGAATGGTGGAACCAAACGTTACTATTGCATGTGCTTCCGTACATTTGATGATTACGGTATCTTAGAAAGAACCATCTTGCCATAATCATACGTCAGGTGCGAAAGTATTTAGATGAGTTATATGAATATGGTTAACTTTGTTGTTACGTGAATATTATTTTAAAAGTTTCTTTAGATCAATTATTCTAGAACTTATAATTATTCTTTATCACTGATCGCTTATATTTTTGTATGGAAAAGTAATTTTTTTAAATCGCCCTGTGGGTCGCATAAAGAGCTTTCATGGGCCACATGCATGTTGTCCAGGTCTGGTACAAGCCCACTTTAACAACCTTCATAATGTGTATTCTGAAACAGTTAATAGTGTTTAGCGGCGGAAACATAATATTGCTGAAAATTGGGCGAATGTCCTCAATACTAAGTAAGTGGCATATTTTCTGTATTTTCAATTTTACAGATTTGTAAACTTTTTTTTCACTCTAAGCAATTAAAATAGAAAATCTACCATGTTTTTTTAAACATGACAACCTAAATTCATTTTTCATTTTTAGAAGGAGAAGGTGTATCTTCCGATGAAGTTGCAGAGTTCCTGACACTGAATGCAGAAGGTGAGGAAGGAATCAAAAGTGGGGATAATGAGCAAGATGAAGATGTAGAAGATCTGCTTGATGAGCTGTAAAACACAATTTTTCTAGGAGCATTCTCTACCAGACTAATCATCATCTAGTGCGTACTACACCTGGTAAAATCTGGAAGTCATTTTACTCTGTTTAAGACTGTGTGTCTGTGTGACCTCACTTCATATCTGGTCTAGACTAGATGATGAGTCGTTTTACCTGATACATCAAGTGTTGTCTGGATTCCTCACAATATTCCATTTCTGTAGTCTTTATAGTTCATGGCACTTCAGTGGCACTTTTGTTACCATCTGTTGATTTGATATAAATAAAGAATTTCAGTCTCGTTTTGTAGCCCCTCTTTTATAAAAAAAGTTCATATGCCAAGTGAGAATATGGGCTTGACAATAAGCGATACTGAACTGTTGAGTGATGAATGGGTTAAGTGACGCGTTTTTTTGCGCTGTGTATCTGATGAATCGATTGGGCTATCTGAAAAAAAAATGGTACAATGAAGTACGGTACAATTTGGTGCTGGGCGACAATAATGGAATGAAGTTAAAGCAGCATGCTACTTTAACAGTAACCATTGTTCCAATTTATGTTTGTTTTTTTCCGTTTGTGTAGTGGATTTCGATAATGTAAAAGTATTGCTACCGCATACACTATATGAAGCTTCTTCCTTTTCCAGCCTATCGACGACCCAGACTCCCGAATTCGTAAATTGAACTGGAGTGATTAGAGACAAATTTCTGTGACTAAAACAAAACATGTATATGAGTTGCAGAATTAGTTTAATGCAAATTTATTATGCATACCGTAAATACCAATTATAAAGAGTTTCACGAGGCAGTGAAAGCAATATACAGTTTTTAATACCCGTCTACTAAATTTTATTTCGAAACATATAAGACGAGATGAAAGGGATAAATATACATCGATCAATTTTTTACCGATACGAATTCCCCAATTGGCGAAAGATCGACATATCTCTACTCTGTTTTATTAATATGACATGGAACAATTTCCTCAAAATGGCGTCCGTGGGCTGAGCGTGTTTTCACTGAGGCTATATATAGTCTACGCTTTAATCTATAGCAGGGGTGTGCAACCTTTTTACAGGCGGGCGAAGTATAAGTAACTGGGTGAAGCCGCGGGTCGCATCTAGAAAGCCCCCCGATACGAAAAAAAATGTAGTTTTCATTCGGTATTTCTCTGTTCTTTCTTCTTACCATGTGTACCTTGCAGAATTTTCTACTTGCGAAGGGGTTTCCGTAATTTGAACGAAATTAATTTGTTGCAAGCCCATCTTAAGTAGAAAATTTCGTAAGTACGGACGCTCTTCACCCTAAAATGCTATAATCCGTTCCGAGCCCCCACAAAACACGGACATAATATTTGACTGGACTAAGCTAAGAACCCGAAGAGTGGGAGGACGGCGGTCGGAGAAGGCGTTAGAAGTTGAAGTCTAAGTAAGAGAGAACGTAATTTACGAAAATGAGCACACACGCATGAAATTCAAAATTAGAATTTACTATTTTTATTTTGCAGTTTTATGTATTTCTTTTTGTCACTTTTCTTTCTTTAGTTTTAACTGTTACGCGTATTCATTGTCTTCTCAACTGAAACTGAGTGATATTCATTGTACGCACCCGCGGGAAACAAATGGGCCAATGGAATGGCAGATTGTTGATTAGCGTGTGACAGGGCAGCTACCACGGACTTCAATTTTTATAGTGATCACGACACCATTCGTTGATGAAGAAAAACGCAGATGTGATTACGCGATCATCGTCGTTATCAAATGAGTGAACCTGATTCCCGAATTCACATCTGCAAATAACAGAAAATCCTTTTTTTTATTTTTCGAAGCTGCGCTGATTTAAATATTTCATGTCGGCTGTTATAATTTTATTTTTGCTCATAAATTAATTTGCTCATTAACCGCCAACTTAAACTGAACGATATTGTCATCAACAACGTCGGGATAACGATAAAATTCGCACTAGATACTTAATAATATTTAAGAGCTATTTTATACGCTGTGAATTGCAAGAAATGAACCCATTCACCCTCATGCTCGAATGATGAAAACAATTGATTACAACACGATTTGCTTTTAGATTTATTGCCGAGGCCGCAAACTAACTCAACAAAATTGAAACATACGATAATGATTGTAAAATATTTCCAATCAGAAAGATCCTCGACGTGTCATAAGCACTTCAAGTCATGCTTTCAAAATGTTTTAATTACGGTAAATCAAAACGTTGACGGCGGCGCTAGGATATGTGCGCCATATTCGGTATTCGTACAAACACAAAAAACAATATTCGAAGTTCGCGATATTCGAATAATAAATTCATCCGAATAATAAATTCATTGGACATCCGTGCTTCATGCACTGCAAAATAAACCCAAAATAAACAAATGTCACTATACGCGTTTTTTGTTTTCGGTTTTCGGCCTTTTGATTGTAGAAAATCAAGTTAATCGAAGCAATATTTTTACAAAAATAATTTTTGTAGGTTGGATTTTTCGTATCCAGAGCCTTTCGTTGGTGGAGTTTCTACTGAAGATGCATGTACAAAAAATTGTTTCTTTTTATTATTGATCTTATGGCATTTTTCGAGGTCCTGGCAGAAATAAAAGAGTTGGAACACAAAAATTTTTAAAGAAAAGTGCTGTTTAAATTCACTGTCACACCGACTTTAAGAGAATTCAGTGAGAAAGAAACACGTTTTTATAACATTGTGTATTTTCCAACAGTATCTTGCTGGCTAGTTTCATTGATATAATAGTGGCACTCGGGTACTGGTTTAGGCTTCGCGACGCAAGGTGATTGAAATTGCCCACACGTTCCAGATTAATTTAACTAAAAGCTCGTTTAGCGGACACATCCTTCAAAATTGGCACTTCTGCGCAGGCCGCACAATTTGTCTCTGCGGGCCGCATTTGGCCCGCGGGCCGCAGTTTGCACAACCCTGATCTATAGCAAGCATCTGGTAACATAGGATGGAATTCACATATTCATCCCAGTATGGATTAGGATTAATTAGCCAGATATTTTTTCGGATGCATGAACTTGGTGGTGAAGACCCTAACCCACCAGCGCTTACCTGAACCGCCTTACGCGGTGAGGAGTTCAACAATCCTCTCGCGTACAATTGTCCCTCGTGGGATTCGAATCTGCAAACCCACGCTCGGTAATCTGATGTGCGGTGGCGAGCGTATTCCACAAACTAGCAGGGCATGTACTCAATTCAGCATTGGTTTACAGATTCGAATCTCATGGGGGATAATTGTAGGCAAAGGGATTGCTGGACTCCTCGGCGAGTTATGGTGGATTGGAGGTAACCGCTGGCAGGTTAGGGCTTATTGCACCCATAAGTCCATGCATCTGAAACAATATCTGGCAAACTAATGTCCATAAATGCAGCTGGGGAACCGCTACAATTAAATTTCAATTTTGTTGACGTCACCACACAAAACTTCAGATAGAAAAACAAATCCCACAGGAAGTATTGAAATAAACAAGAGGGCGATGCTCAATTATATGGACGCGAAAGTCAAAACGAAGAAGTACGGGAATTTGGTGTGGCACAGTGCACTACCGGAACCACAATGACTGACGCTAAACCCCTCAAGGTGCGCAATTTTTGATTACGTCATGGCACACAAAAAACGAATCCCATAGAACCCACCGGCATTTTGTAATAAATAGAAGTAATAGCCTTCTAGCGAAAAATGCAATCTTTAACCACTAAAGATTTCAAAGCAATTGGTCTTGTAAGTAATGAAAAAAGCGATTTTTTTCATACGGTAAGAACAAGAAAAAGGGTACTAACAACGTAATATTAAATCGGTCACCGATTTAACTTTTTGTATATTGTAGCCTATATATTATTTTGTATACCATAGTTTGTTTTCCGGTTGACAAATCAATCTCTCTCTCTCTATTTCGTGTCCAAATGATAATCTGTATGTCCACTTTATGTCCGAAAATGAAATTACCATCAAAATTGTAATCCGGGAAGGCTAGAGCTTAAGCTCAATTCTGAGATTTTGCATTTTTTGGTACCTTATACACTGCTGCTCAAATTTATTTTGCTACTTTGTAGTGATTTCATTAGTTTATTGTATTTATATATATGCTGCCTTAAGTCTCTCACCATTTACACAAAATGTTACTGTGTATTATTCAACTTGAAATACCCGATTCCACACACTTGATGCTCCGTTTTCTCAAAACTACATATTTATGTCAAATCTGACCAATACTACACTTGATCAAGTGTGTAACTTGTCCGACATTTTATATAGCTTTAAACACATATATGTAATTGCCTATGCCCTATTGTTGTGTATATGTAACTATCTGAAGCATTTTTATTCATGCTTATTGATATTAATATTGGGTGGTAAGGTAACTGACTCCGATGACCGTACCGTCGTATCGTTGCCACCATAGTGACTATAAACCTATATTCTATATGGCTAATTCTGGGTGCAAATTATCAAATTTAACAGTTATAAATTATAAGCATGTATATATCAGTGTGTTTATTCACTACATGCAAGAGTCTTAATGTACTTGAAATTACTTTAATCGTGGTTTAGTACTTAGTTAATATATACACCTTACGACCAAAGTTATCCTCTGTGGTTTATCCTAGGTTTATAGTCACTTTGGTTGCCACCCAGTCTGTACCGAGAACTGTTTTGCTTTTTATTAATTATGTATTTGTTGTGTATATGTTTTCTGGAGACAAAACAAATAAACTCTCTCTCGGGTAATGGTGAAATAATTGTGCAACAAATTTCTCCCCAAGCTTGGTTGTGCATTCAAGTATATATATATATATTCACGATTCAACTTATCGTGCCGAATGATTTGATAGTATGCGCGATAGAGCGAAACGGGCGTAGACACGTGTTGCATCATAATTCACTGAATAAGTACGAACGTATTATGGTTGGATCGTAATCTAAATCTACGGTAGGAATTGCGTCTATACTGTTGTACAAAGCCATGTGTTTATTCCGCATTGAAATAATATTATTTGCTTGTTGTTAATCTTACTTTGTTATTTATAGATGATATGCTTAGATATAGCAGCTTTATTATTAATTCCATAAATAAGTTTTGTGGTCGCAAACTTCATTTCAGCCTAAAATTCAGGTAGGTTTTCTTTTCTCAAGTTCAAATAGACAGATCCGGAGATCATCGTTCAGTTTGACATCTTCATCATATCTCACACGATGATATAACGTTACATACCAATTAGGAGGTTACAGTTCTCCAATCCAAGATGTCCTGACATTTGTTTCAATAAAACAAACGCTCTATTTATCTCTGAAAAAGGGGAACTGACTCGATGCGTCATGCTTGTCTCGATAATAATTTAAATTAATTGTGACGTGTGACAGCCGTCGCATAATCAAAACTGTTTTTTTTGCTAAATACCCTAAATGCCAAGGTAAATTTTTCTTCTTCCTGGAAATCATATCTTTTTGTGAGGAATCCAATGGCTGAATGGTGTCGTTTTTTAGATTGACCTTTTTTTAATTTATTGCGCAGTGCCGATTTGTCAATATGGAGACTCAGACTGACTCTTGAAGGAGGGCAGGAGGGGTTTGCACTCACTGTTATAATTGATGTCTTTCAATGTGAAGGCTATTCTTGGAATCTGATAACTTTGCCGTACTGTCAACATGGACAATGTCTCCTTGTGACATGGAATATAAATGTAAAAAACAGGATGGGATACTGCCTAATTGGGTCTTAAGCTATTGATTACAATATTACTGGGGATCATACCAGGGAGGCGCAGTTCTTACCACTTCATGGCAGCTCCTGCCACGAACGAACCGCGGCAGCTCTTGCCATGGTTTTATAGCGCTATCCAGTAATCAGTATTAACGGTATATTCACAAATTAATGTACCAGTTTTCAATTGATCATGTGGAATTATATCTACTTAAACCCTAACTCCAAATCAATCAAAACTGTATCCATAAGAAAAATGTTCCAACTTACCCAATATTTGTCACCATAATAGACAACCCTGTCTTTACGGCCCACCTGCCGCGGTTACGGCAGCAAAATTTTACCTGCCATTGGTTTTCAATTTGCTGCCGCGGTAACGGCAGCTCGACATTGGTTTGTGGCAGCTAAAAAGTCAGTTGCCATGAGTTTGGCCGTAGCGGCCATGGTATGGAAATACTGCCATGGTTTTGCGGCAGCTGCAGATGCCACAGAATACTTAAAACTGCACTTGATACCAGGAGTGGTGGAATTGCGAACAATTAAACAGTGGAAGAATTGTATAAACTATAAATATATATAAGATAAAACAGAATAAATACGATATACATATCATAATATCAATTCTCAGACTTGGATGTAAATTTGGGAATCCCAATAGGCTATGCCATTTTCTAATGGAATATTATACAGATATATTAAATCGTTATATACACTATTGCTTCGTTTGCGTTCCCATTCCAGTGTTTCATAATCTAATTCTTAGCTATCCAATAACTAGATGAGGAATTTTGATGGCATCCAAGGACTCATTTTCTTACATTTGTTTTTTCAGCACTCCTATATCTTCTTCAGAAATTATTAACAAGATGTCTAATGAAAAAGAGAATGTGCCAATTTCTGGAGATGCTGTGCAGACCAAGCCACAGAAAAAGGGAAAGCAAAAGTCAAACACCAACATTAGTAAGGAACTTGATCCATGGCCAGAATACATCAATGAAAGAATGAAACTATACTCAAAGCTCAAAGAGGAATCTGATCAAGAATTGAAAGAAAAACAAGAAAAACTGTCAGCAGAAATTAAAGTCACGCTACCGGATGGAAAAGTGGTAGAAGGAAGGTCATGGATCACTACACCTTATATTGTAGCACAAGGCATAAGTCAAGGCCTTGCAGATTCTTGTATTGTAGCAAAAGTTAATGGAGAAGTATGGGATCTTGACAGGCAATTTGAAAAAGATTCATCCCTCGAGCTTTTAAAATTTGACGATGATGATGCTAAAGCTGTTTATTGGCATTCTACAGCTCATGTTATGGGTGAAGCAATGGAGCGTGTTTTAGGAGGTTGCTTGTGCTATGGACCTCCAATTGAACAAGGTTTTTACTATGATATGTATCTGGAGGATCGACAAGTTTCTGATAAAGATGACTTTCCAGCACTTGAAAATGTTATGCGTTCTGTATTAAAAGAAAAACAAGAATTTGAAAGATTGGAGGTTAAAAAAGAGCATTTGCTGGAGATGTTCAAATACAACCCTTTCAAATTGCGTATTCTGAATGAGAAAGTTAATACGCCAACTACCACAGTATACAGATGTGGTCCTTTAATTGATCTTTGTCGAGGTCCTCATGTCAGACATACTGGAAAAATCAAAGCATTCCAGCTTTACAAAAATTCCGCATCATATTGGGAAGGAAAAGCTGATGCAGAGTCTTTGCAGAGAATTTATGGTATTAGTTTTCCTGACAAGAAGGAGATGAAAGAGTGGCAAAAGTTTCAAGAAGAAGCAAAACAGAGGGATCACAGAAAGATTGGCAGGGAACAAGAACTATTTTTCTTCCATGAATTGAGTCCAGGATCATGTTTCTTTCTTCCTCGTGGAGCACATATCTATAACACTCTTATTGATTTTATCAAGAGTGAGTATAGAAAAAGAGGATTCACTGAGGTTGTTTCTCCAAACATATACAATTCTAAATTATGGTTAACCTCCGGACATTGGCAGCATTATCAAGACAACATGTTCAGTTTTGATGTAGAGAAAGAAACTTTTGCGCTTAAACCAATGAATTGTCCAGGACATTGCTTGATGTTTTCTCATCGCAACCGATCTTGGAGAGAATTACCAATGAGATATGCAGACTTTGGTGTATTGCATCGTAACGAATTGTCTGGAGCACTTACTGGCTTAACTCGAGTCCGACGGTTTCAACAGGATGATGCCCACATATTTGCTCGCCATGACCAGATTAAAGATGAGATCAAAAGTAGCCTGGATTTTTTAAAAGCTGTATATGATTCATTTGGCTTCACTTTCAAGTTGTTTTTATCAACCAGACCAGAAAAATATCTTGGTGAGATTGAAATGTGGAATTTTGCTGAGAAACAATTGGAAGAAAGTTTGAATGAATCCGGATATCCATGGAAACTCAACCCAGCTGATGGCGCTTTCTACGGACCAAAAATTGATATTCAAATTATGGATGCTTTGCGCAGACCACACCAGTGTGCCACGATTCAACTCGACTTCCAGCTACCTCAAAGATTCAATCTGACATATGTCACGGGAGAAGGTGCTGAGAAAACGCATCCTGTGATAATCCACAGGGCAATATTGGGTTCGGTGGAGCGTATGATTGCTATTCTGACAGAAAATTATGGAGGGAAGTGGCCACTTTGGCTGTCGCCCAGACAAGTCATGGTCCTGGCAGTCTCTTCTAAATTTGATGAATATGCAGTTAGTGTGAGAAATGAATTGCACAAAAGTGGTTTTCAGGCAGATATGGAAATGGATCCTGGTTTAACGCTAAACAAAAAGATTAGAAATGCTCAACTTGAACAATACAATTTCATCTTGGTTGTTGGGGAGAAGGAAATGACAAACAAAACTGTCAATATACGTACTAGAGATAACAAAGTTCATGGTGAGCACACTTTAGAACACACCATCAATCGTCTTCGAGAACTTGTTGTATCGAAATCTCCTAATGCTGAGGACGAATTTGAACCGAACCATCAAGCCGAGTGATTAGTTGAATATTTTTTATTATTATTGTTGGTTTGGTACTTCTAATATCTGGCCTGTAAACCTCCATTATTGTTACAAAAATATCACTATCTCACTGGACATAAATTATAAAGTTTACCTAAATGTGCTAGCTTGCTTATTCACTCATGTAAATCTTACTTGTCAGCCCTGTAAAATTATGAATACAATCCGATTAGATTTAAGAAAAGCATAGATAGCATAGTATAAAAGTAAAGCATTCATTGTTGAAGTTCTGCTAGCTTTGTAGTGTTGTAATATATTCTACTATTTCATTTTGTTTGGTGTTCATTGTTACAGCAAGGGTATCATCCATTGCTGGTTTAAATATTGGTAAAACAAATTGAGATGGTTTTTGATTTTTTACGGGAGAGAATAGCTGCAAAGATGACTACTCCTCAGTCCTCCAACCTATGTGAATAGACAACCGGTTACTTGTTTGCGATCTTTACAAGAGTTACAAGATATTCGCATGATCAGTCATACAAGATCTAATTTTTGTTTTCAGTTTATGGAGACGTTTTGTGTAAAATTTGTGTTTACAGTAGAGTTAGAAAATCTCTAGCTAGATCCAAGTGTGATGGCGGAATCGGTAGCGCGACTGAGAAGATGTGTATCACCGGCGGTGGCGCACCCTCCACGAGAGATCATACTATGCCACGATGGTTCTCGAACAGCGCGATGATTTAATTCGTCCATTTTAATAAGTATACGTTTATTTCGACTCCATAATCAGCATAACAATACATTTGACAGATAAAAACAAATAAATAAAAACTGATTATGAAATTACGATTATAATATACCACACCGTCTAAAAACAGTTTTTAGCAATTGATACTAACTGCTGGACTGTTATGTGTTCCCAAATCATTACTCAGCTGCTGTGATAATTTACTGATAAACGCATATCTTGCTACTGGAACGATTAGTAATTCCATTCGCTACGCCTCATCTGGGCTATTCCAAGTGACACTACGGGACAATTCCAGAAATTTTGCAAGTTGTTAGATTCAATATATTTTCACATTTTCAGCTACATGTTTTGTTTCATTGTCCAATCAGTTGCTTCATTGAATATGTAAAAAATTGCACGAAAGTTACACCCAAGACTTAATTAGTAAATAAAAAAAATATAGCGTGACACTACAGGACGGCGAATCCACCATGCATTAACAGTACGTTGTGTTGTGCTGTAAATTTATGCGGTGGTACAGTAGGAGCCCATAATATTTTCTGGTGCAGTAGCTGAACTACCACTCTATGTGTTGCTCAAGTTACTTAATGTAACACTGTAAATCCATGCCAATAATGTGCATATTGTATGTGACACTACAGGACATTTTTCCACTTCGGAATAGCGGCATCTATCATCTCTTAAAATTCTGGTTATTAATCGTTAAATGGGTGAAGAAATGTTCTACAGCACTACAAACATTCAAACTTTATTAACTTAAATCCAGTGCTTCAATTCCATATGAAATAACTGTACCACACAATCAAACCCTTTGTGCCAGGAATCATCACAAAATATGTCAATTGTACCAAAATTTCTACATTTCAGGCCATTTTTTAAAAACCATCAAAAACCTTGGTGAAATTTTAAATTGTCCGATGAAATGAATGCAGTCCAATAAAATTCCAATGTCTTTTGGTGTCGAAAATAAAAAAAAAATTACTTTCACTACACTTTTTAAAAAATTGATGGAATTCAACTTTTGCTTGGAATGGCCCATCTATGCGAGGCAGGTCTTTTGCTGCGTTCGCGGTCGTAGCCAAATATTAATCACGAATGGAATAAATAACGAATCAAGTTGTTTAAACCAAATAATCTCATCAAATGTCGGTTCATTTAGAATCCATAACCAACATAAAAGACAATAAAAATAAATTAATTACAGAATCAGTAAAGCTAACAAAATCTTAAGTAAGGGTTATAACGTAAAAATGAGGTATTAAAATGTATCGCCAAGTTAATTATCATTGGAGTCACATGCTGGATGCATGAAGAGGAGGGCAAGACGAGTTGTTCCAAACCTTTCAGCACCGGCCTCGTTGACAGGTGATAAAGTATGGAAATGGTTATATAAACAAAAAATAATAACCTTTATTTGCGAAATAAAAGTTCTGGCATCGTCTGTAGGGTTTTGTATTTTAACAATTCTAAAAAAAACATCGTATTTTAAAGCAAGGGCCTGTTTTAAATCAGTGTGTTTGTGTATTTTTTTATTGAAATATCCATTGTATCGCCGCGAAACTACGCCAAAACGTTGCATTCTGGCAGCTGCACACGCAGCTGGAATTATAACGTTTGATCATAATTGCGTGTGCTCGTGAAACAATCCAGGCGATAAATGTTAAAAAACATGATTTGTGTTAAATATTATAGGCGCATAATTTTAATACTCTTATGACAGGCCTTGTCTCCGAAAATGCAAAGTTATATATCAAAACAAAGCACTTTGTCACATTTATTTTGCCCTCCAAAACGTTACATATTTTCGGAATCCAAGTCTACGATTCTATCGTGTGGCCAAGTCTAGATATATACCGATAAGAAGTTGAGAACAAAAATCAAGATTTTGTTATAGAAAATGAATCTTTTGATGTTACTAAGTACAAAATCGCGAATACGACAACTTCATTTTACGAGTCTTGCTCGCACAGAATATACACGCTGGTTCATACTTCATAGTAGTTATATTTACTAATTTAGACCAGCTCTTCGAAATGCGGTACCCACTGTGACCGAAAAGTTTGCAGTGGCATCACGCTGGTCCTGTATCTACTTTATTCTCAGTGGGTACATTTCAGAACACTCGTCACTGTCAAATTAACAATAATTTGATGCTGTTTTTTACCTATTTTTTGTATCTTACTAGTTGACGATAAAAGTGTATAATGCGAGTTCTAATTTAGCGTAGCAGTATTTAGGGATCGAATAAATTTTAAAAAGTTCAAGGCAAAAAAATTATTGTCAAAATTTTTAAATTTTATTGTCCTGAGAAATGCCTGTTTGGTATTTACAAATGGTATCATACAAATAAAATCTGATGCTCAGGACATTTCCAATTAAATACAAAGAGAGTATATGTACATATACAATTTTGCTTAAATTTTAATTCGGCAATGTGGTGGCTGGTGAGGAATTCCCACTATTTTAAATAACTAAAAATAGAATAGAATTCGGTATTCGATTCAAGTATTCTAGAATAGTAAATCATTCTACATTGCCCATACCTACCTTTCTGTCAGGAATCATAGGAAACTAAAAATTTAATGAGAAATGTATTAGCCCAGATTCGCGCTCACATTTGGTAATCAATCAATCTGGAGTTATTTTGTAAAATATTTTTAACTGTACATGGAAGCAAAAATATCGCAATGTTTGCTCGATATATCTGCAAGTTGTGTCGGTAACAAAAGAATATAATCTGAAGCGGTATTTTAGAATCTTGTGAGCAATGAACATTTTCCAAAGTTATGGGGTTTTTCATTCAGAATCTTATTGATGTTCGAAAGCACTTACATTCGAGAAAGCACTTTTTCCGTTATGAAGAGTTTGAAATCTTACACTAAATGTAAATATAGAAGGACTTTTGCACTTTTTAGTAAGTTTTTTGGTAGTATGACTTAGCTTGGTGTTGACGAATGTCAAATAATGACCAATGTGTTTGCACAATAAAATTGTTTGTTTTGTATTTCAATGTTTACCTATTCTTGGCACTATTGTGGCCCGTGAACAGAGCAAAAATAATTTTGTGCCCTCGAAGCCGACAACTTCAGACCACCCTGAGCTAGTTGTTGAATTCGTATGATCATTGTAGAGCCACCTGGAAAACAAAAAATAAATGTTGAATTGATTTGAAAAAGTAGTGAACAATAAATATTTATTATTACAGTATATATCGATGGCTGAATGACCGGGAAGGAGATTATGCTATCATTGTTTACAAACCATACAAAATGCATGGAAGTGTGAAATAAATTGATCTAACAAACGGTTGGTTATATCTATTAGAAAAACGGCGCTCCCGAAGTATGTGTGCCAAGATGGCGCATAACCTGAACCCTGACCTGGTACACATACTATGTTCAGGTTGTGCGGCATCTTGTTGCACATACTTCTAGAGGTGCAAAAAAACTGACATACTGTAGGTTTTTTGCCTGCTCCATATTCGCAATCACAAAACATGTCTTCCACATCGGCTAGTACGAGAGGGAACAATGGGATCCGAAAAATCGTTTTTTTCCTCAACTTATATTCAACCAATAAATAAAGTTTCAGTGATTAAAAATAGTTGAATCCTTTACAACGGGTATTACTTTTATTGAACACGGAATAGAAGATCGTCTCAATATTATGTTGTTGTCCTTTGACAGTTTTGGACACCTAGTGGAAAACCTAAAAAGTCGCTTTTCCCTTTGATTACTGGACCAATTGCTTTGTAATTTTTAGTGGTTAAAGATGAAATTTTTTTCCAGAAGGCTAATACTTTTATTTATTTCAAATATTTCTGTTAGTTCGTGAGATTTGTTTTTTATTTGCTATGACGTCACCGAACGTTCTGCGACGCATATGCTGGCACTCTTCTTCGTGTTCTTTTGATCACGTGCCATCGAACGTCGGTGGTTCGTAACGAAATCCTGGTTGGGAGGGGTGACTCCTCTACGGCCCGTGTGCCAGGGCTTGGCTAACACAGACAGTCCCCGAACTCATAACAGAACTATAATGTGAAAAATCTGAACAAAATTTTGTTCTATCCCTAACCTGGTACACATACTGATTCAGATAGATTCAGATATTTATTTTTCGTCGTGCAAAAACATTGTACATTTAAACAAATGGTAAAAATTAAATAAATACATTGAAAGAAAGAGGTACAATATTTGGACTGCAATAGACGAGGGATCGCGAAAAGACTATCAAAAGTCATCATGTCAGCGACACCATTATAGAAGCAGATTAAGTCAAACAATACAGAAATAAATCAGCAAAAATAAATGAAACAATTTGGGAACTAAAATGTACGTGAGAACAGAAGATTCGATTAAATAGAAAAAAGCATTGACGAATTTAAACAACTCAACGCCATGCTCCACCGAGCACGCCAACAACAAAGAAATTGCTGACGTGCGTGACGCAGCATAACGTTGTTGACTACTTGGGGAATTCCCTGCAGCAGCAGCAGTGGAACTACTAATATAACCAATGAATTATGATTAAGAAAAAGACATATTCAATTTATTTTGGATTGCAAAGAGCACATATATATTGGAAAATATTAAACGACATATGTGAACTACAATGGATGAAAGCATATTAAAGAAGCAATGACTATTAGAG